GCCATGTATTGCCATGTATTACCATGTATTGCCATGTATTACCATGTATACCCATGTATTACCATGTATACCCAGGTATAGCCATGTATAGCCATGTATATCCATGTATAGCCATGTATACCCATGTATACGCATGTAGAGCCGTGTATTACCATGAATACCCATGTATACCCATGTATACCCATGAATAGCCATGTATTACAATGTATAGCAATGTAATGCCATGTATAGCCATGTATTGCCGTGTATACCCATGTATAGCCATGTATTACCATGTATAGCCATGTATTGCCATGTATTACCATGTATTGCCATGTATTACCATGTATACCCATGTATTACCATGGATACCCATGTATAGCTATGTATAGCCATGTATAGCCATGTATTACCATTTATAGCCGTGTAATGCCATGTATTGCCATGTATTACCATGTATTGCCATGTATTGCCATGTATTACCATGTATTGCCATGTTTTGCCATGTATTACTATGTATTACTATGTATCGCCATGTATTATCATTTATAGCCATGTATTGCCACGTATTGCCATGTATAACCATGTATTACCATGTACTGCCATGTATATAGCCATGTATTACCATGTATTGCCATGTATGCCCACGTACTGTCATGTATAGCCATGTATTGCCATGTATTGCCATGTATTACCATGTACTGCCATGTATAGCCATGTATTGCCATGTATACCCATACGTTACCATGTATTGCCATGAAAAATCGGATGGGTTTATAAATTGAGGGGCTTCTTTTCTGAATGTTACGGTATTGTGCTAACTTGAGACCATAGAAAATCCTCTTTTCAGATTTTAGATTGATTTCTGCAATACTGTGAATTTACGCGGGAGTCAGTGGTGAAATTTTTGCCGGCCTAGTTGTCCTGAATTTATAAACAAATTATATGCCGTTAAAATTGTTATAAATCTGTTCAAATAAAGAGGTTCTGATGTTTTCTTGAAATATTCACTGTTCTTTACGCATGTAGGAATGCCGATTTGAATTTAACACTATTAGAGGGAACGACTAAGGGACTCATTTTTCAACTGAATAATCAATTTATTAATAGAATCTAGGGAGGTATGTTTGAAATGTCCAGACTGTGACGTTGGTCCTTGTGGTGGACTTAACCCTCCCCTCACAGCCATCCTCTCCACCCATTTATTTATGTTTTCAGCGAGTCACTTCCAGTCACTACAGGAATTGATAGTTCTGCAACGTGCGGAAAAATTGATGTCTTCGAAACGCCAACATCGGCAAAAAAAAAAGATATATATATGTATAGTATATGGCCTCGCTCTTCATGAGTTCTCAGTAGTTCAAAATGGATAGAGAGCGCCCGCCTTGTGTATGGATGTCATATGTACGCATCTTGTTGAGCACTCAGATTTTTTCTTTGTTCCACGCTAGTGACATGCTGATTATTTCATTATTACATAATTTCAAATATTAGAAAATTATTAAAAAATATCCGCTTTTTTCTCATTACCAATAAAAATCTGAAGTCTCTGCCCTTTCTGCATCTGATCTCATGGACAACAGAAGTTTACTTCAAGGGATTCAAAAGGTCATGGTTCATGGTTTTTAAATTGGTGGATTTCGATCCGTTTGGTGTGTTTCTGTGTTTCAATGGAGGTTCGTTGTTTTTAAAGTTTAATTTTCGCGTTTTCTCAAGTGTTATATTTTTTTAGATTCCGTAATTGAAATTCAAGGATTTTAACAACGCAAGTCCCTTGGTCCCCGAAAAAACTGTTAGCGCACACATGTTAAAACTTTAACCTTGCTATTATTGCCTGTTACTGAACACGCATCCTCTGTTTGTCGTTATAGCCTCCCGCAACACCTTTGGTTGATGTAGAGAGAGCTCTTCATGACTCAGCTAGTCGCGTTACAAGAATGCCGCTAGTTCTTAAGTGACAACCTTTTATATTCCATTCTGTGTAATCCTTCACACAAGCTGTACAACTAGATTAGTCTCTTCTAAAAACAAGTGCGAGATCAATTTAAGGGCTGGGTAAGCTCGCTTTCATCTCCCCCTACCCGTTCTCGTATAGCTTTATTCATTTTAATGTCAATACTACCGAATCCGGTAAGGGCCACGTAAATTTGCTCTCTCATTTTCTGGTTTCGAGACCTTACTTTCAGCAATTTTTTTCTTCGACCTTCATAGTGAGCGGTAGTTATCTGCGAGCCTAAATACTCTTAAGTTAACGCAAACTTGAAGCAATTCCATATGAGAGCCAAACAAAGGCTAAAGGCTAAGACTTCTCGATGTTAAAGTCTTAAATGAAAGCATCCATTGATACGATTATCCTACATTAAATACCTTGGTAGAACTGCTTTATTTAGGGGCAATAAACCAGTTACAACAATGTCGCTACTATTTTCTGCAATTGACTACGTCTCTGAGCTGGCAGCGATGAAAACAGTCGAAACAAAAGTCGCGAAAGAAAGACACGACAAGTAAAATGCCACGAAAAAAAACTCGCAAAAAAATAGAATGTCGCGAATAAAAAAAGTCGCGAGACCAGAAAACGAGACTGTAAATTTGCATAACCCTTACGGGACTCCGTACAATACGACAATGCTTTAAATAGTCCTACAATGTAGGACTATTATCATTCTTACATTTTAAAACCATGCTTTTTTCAGATATTAAGCCTTCATTTTCGTTTGAAATCAAACGTACCCCCGAGTTCTAGCTGTTATGTTTTATCAACTGAGACACTATCTATTTAACAAATAGATTCCATGTTGCTGTGCGTCTGTTCAGTAATAGATCACAGATGACGTCAAAATGTCGTAAAAACAAAGAAGTGGCACACGGGCCACAGGCGAGTGTGTCACTGTTGTTTTTACTACATTTTGACGTCCTCTGTGATCTATTACTGAACAGACCCACGGCAACATGGAATCTATTTGTTTTATACAATGATCAGAAAAGAAAAAGACCGATACACATACCTGCCTCGAACCGCTTGACCTTTTGAGGATTTGTGCTAGTTTAGGCATTTTTTAAGTCCCAAACCCAACTTTTCATCTTAGCTTCTTCTTTATCTTACTTGTGTACAGTTTCTTCGAAAAGTTTTTCACCGTCTTTTCTTGCTCAAAGAAGAAGAATAGCGAAAACATTTTGCAAAACAGCGAGTCTCTTGTAGCGAAGACACACGATGGCAACTGTTGTGAAGATTTCTTGTAGTTTAGGCATTCTCAAGTAGTCAATAGCTTTTTTGGTCTCTGTTTCTCCATTTTTCTTCTTTGTAAATAGCTAAACTTTTCCCGAAGCTTTCACTTGCCTCAACCCGAAATAATCTCACAAACATTTTCAAAACCGCGGGCCATTTTGAACAAAACAAAGAAAACAAGTTTCCCTTGACGTCATCCATGTATCTGTACTCTAATAGATCATGGGCAACGACCAATCACAGCGCGCGTAGCATTCACATCATTGATTGTATAACTATCTATCCTTAATATTAAAAGGCTATTCTAAAAAGTTATGAAAGACGGCTCAATTGCCTGAAGAGTGAGATTTCATTCTCTTTCAAATAAACCTTACAAAATCTATTTTAATGGAAGTTCGCAATACACTAGGTCTTGTCTAAACTATGTAAGAGACAAAAAAAAGACTTTCCATTCACTGACTTTACTCCAAGTTAGGACATACATGGTCAACACATGGCTACAAATGGCAATACATAGCAATACAGGGTAATAAATAGCAATACATAGCAATACATGGCTATAAACGCAGTACGTGTCAATACATGTAATACATGGGAGTACATGGCTGTACATGACAGGACACGGCTATACATGGCAGTGCATGGCAATACATGGCTATACATAGCAAAACATAGTAATACATGGTAATACATAGCAGTACATGGTATACATGGCTATACATGGCAGTACATGGTAATACATGGATATACATAGCAATACATGGTAATACATGGCAATACATGGCTTTACATGGCATTACATGGCTATACATGGCAACACATGGCAATACATGCTAATACATAGTAATACATGGCTATACATGGCAATACACGGTAACACATGGTAATACATGGCTATATATGGCAATACGTGGTAATACATGACAATACATGGCAATACATTGCAATACACGCCTGTACATAGTAGTACATGGCAATACACGCCTGTACATGGTAATACATCGCAATACATGGCAAAACATAGCTATACAAAGCTTTACATCGGAATACATGGTAATACATAAAAATACATGGAAATACATAGTATCACATGGTAATATATGGGTATACATGGCAGTACATGGTAATACATGGCTATACATAGCAATACATGGTAATACATGGCTATACATGGTAATACATGGCAATACATGGTAATACATAGTATTACATGGTAACACATGGCTATACATAACAATAGATGGCTATACATGGCTATACATGGGTATACATGGCATTACATGTTTATACATGGCAATATATGGTAATACATGGCTATACATGGGTATACATGGCATTACATGGCTATACATGGCAATACATGGCAATATATGGTAATATATGGCAATACATGGCTATACATGGCTCTACATGGGTATACATGGTAATACATGGCTATACATGGCTATACATGGGTATACATGGCTATACATGGCATTACATTGTAATACATGGCAATACATGGCTATACATGGCTATCCATGGTAATACATGGCTATACATGGCTATGCATTGCATTACATGGCTATACATGGCAAAACATGGCAATATATGGTAATACATGGCAATACATGGCTCTACATGGGTATACATGGTAATACATGGCTATACATGGCAATACATGGTAATACATGGCTATACATGGCATTACATGGTAATACATGGTAATACATGGCAATACATGGCTATACATGGCTATCCACGGTAATACATGGCTATACATGGCATTACATGGCTATACATGGCTATACATGGCTATACATGGTAATACATGGCTATACATGGCTATACATGGCTATACATGGCTATAGATGGCTATACATGGCAGTACATGGGTATACATGGCATTACATGGCTATACATGGCTATACATGGTAATACATGGCTATGCATGGGTATACATGGCTATACATGGGTATATATGGTAATACATGGCTATACATGGTAATACATGGCAATACATGGCTATACATGGCAATACATGGGTATACATGGTAATATATGGCTATACATGGGTATACATTGCTATACATGGCTATACATGGTAATACATGGCTATACATGGGTATACATGGCATTACATGGCTATACATGGCAATACACGGCAATACATGGTAATACATTGTAATACATGGCTATACATGGGTATACATGGGTATACATGGTTCTACATGGCTATACATATCATTACATGGGTATACATGGCAATATATGGCTATAAATGGCAATACATAGCTATACATGGCATTACATGGTTCTACATGGGTTTACATTGCTATTTTTATACATTTCTTGATACACTTTAATAACCCTACTTAAAGTACCTACCGTTGTGAAAACTGTCAATTGATCACAACATTGATGTGCAATCAGCTTTCTCCTGGGCTCCCAAACTAGCTAGAAAGTGCGAGAGTAAACATTGCTATGTCTGTGGTGCGGACGGCAACGTACGTTCGTTCGGTGTACGGTCACGTGATAACCAAATTTTCTGGGATGGGTAGGTTTACTTAGCTATGGGGCTGCGCGCGCGCGTGGAGCTCCGCTAATAATAATAATAATTTAATATTTATATTGCGCAAAATACATGCGCATTACATGAAAGTAAATTATCGACATTAATAAGTTATCCAAAATAACGAGAAATATTTTATTAAAGAAAACAATGGATCTATAAAAATATAATATATACATAATCCTAAAAAATCTTAATAAAAAGCTAATCTAAAAAAATGGGTCTTAAGTAAACCTTTATACCTATGAAAATTGGGCTCATTTCGTATTTGTGATGGTAACCCATTCCACAGTTTAGGTGCCGCAGCTAAAAAAGCACGGTCTCCCAATGTCTTTTTAGTTAAAGTTCTTGGCGTTTGAAGCATGATTCCCTTTGCACACGATCTTCAATTGTATCTCTTTTCCTCCCTTTTGCTAATGAGTTCTTGTAGATATACCGAAGCTTGTCCATGGATCGCTTTAAAAGTAATTATAATAATCTTATAATGAATCCTAAATTCTACTGGAAGCCAATGAAGCGTACACAGAATCGGTGAGATGTGATAAAACCTTGGAATCTTAAAAATAAGTCTTGCTGCGGAATTTTGGAGCTGTTGTAACATTGCTATTTGCTTAGCTGGTAATCCATACAGAATACTATTACAATAGTCAATGCGCCCAATTATTAGGGCATGAACAAGTGCCTGGGTTGCTTGGTTACTTAAATACTTTCTTATTCGTCTTACATTTGTAATGTAGTAATAGGCTGCTTTACACGTGTTATTGATATTAACTTGAAGACTCGTGTTACAATCTATCCATGTCCCTAAGTTCTTGACCGACTGAACAGGCGACACTTGAGCATCCCCTACTGCAAGCGAGTCAACATGAACCTTGGATAGTTGCTGACGGGTGCCTATTATTACAAACTCTGTTTTGCCATCATTGATCTTCAGTTTGTCACACAGCATCCAGGCTCTTATCTCATTTACACACCGTTCCATAGCAGCAATGACATCATCGGTACGTGAGGCACAGCCTGGTTTAAATGCTAAATATAACTGCGTATCGTCTGCTTAAGCATTAACGCTAGGCAGGTATCTCTTGACAACTTCAAACAGTTTACTGGCATACAGAGTAAACAGTAACGGCCTTAAACATGACCCTTGAGGAACTCCTTGAGAGAGATTCCGAACACTTGCCACTTGAGAACGTCCTGATAGGTATGACACAAACCACTCCAGTGCTGTACCTCGGATCCCAAAACTTGTGCTCAGACGAGATTGCAACACAGAATGTTCCACTGTATCGAAGGCAGCACTCAGATCCAACAACACAAGCAGAACAACTTCCTAACGATTCATTGCCATTAATATATCATTATATATCTTGAGTAAGGCTGTTTCTGTGCTGTGACCGTGTCTATACGCAAATTGCAACACGGGGTAGAGGTCATGTTCAGAAAGGTGTGCATGTACCTGATCAAATACTGCACGCTCTACCAATTTCGACACATACTGCAGGTTACTAACTGGACGAAGATTAGTGAAGTCATTAATTCCAGCTTTTTTGTAGCGAGGATCAATAAGGGCTTCCTTCCATACCTTCGGAAAGTGTCCCCCAAGTAGCGATGAATTACCATCTTAGTAATAACAGGTAACAGATGATCAAGTGATTCTACTATGGCGTTTCCATTGTTTGTGCGACAGGTTTGCAGCACTGAATTCCCCAGCTGGCGGTTTGAGGTGTTGCGGCTTATGAGTCAGCAATGTCACTGGGGTCAAAACTTCAGGTGTGTCTGGATCATTGGAGACTGGAACAAGCGGCCTAGCATTGACGATAGCCGATACCTCAGCCATCAGGGTTGTTAAGACTTCGTGTGTGAGGTGTTTCGGGGAGAGATCCGCTAACATGGCTTCCAATACTCACCTCGCCACGCCTATCATTCTTTCCCATGCTCCACCTGTGTGGGAAGCATGAGGTGGATTAGCCACTCGCAACCTTCCTTCGGCAGATATCTTTTAACAGGGCTAGCGTCAGAAGGTTTTAGCACTGCTTGAAGTTCGTTACATGCTCCTACACCTACGAAGTTGGTGCCGCCGTCAGAGCCAAGCTGGATGACCGGTCCCCTTATAGCTAGAAATCTGCGGAGTGCATTAATAAAGCTCGAAGTATCCATAGACTCAATGACTTCAGTGTGTACTGCACGGGTTGACATACAGGCAAATAGTACGGCCCAGTGTTTGCTGTGAGCAAGGCCCCCTCTGGTCCTCTGGGCGCAAATCTGCCAGGGGCCAAATACATCGTGCCCAACATAGCTGAATGGGGGCGCGGGACTAATTCGGTCCACGGGTAGGTTGGCCATTTTCTGGATCTGGCATTGACCTCTCAATTTCTTACATTTCACGCACTTCTCAATGATGCTGTTAATCAATCTCTTTCCTCCCAAGATCCAGTACCCACTTCTGCAAAGTGCACCGTGCCTTAGAACTCTTCCCCGGTGCTGTACTCTTTCATGGTAATGTCTAATCAGAAAAGATGAGACGTGACTCAACTTGGGCAGGATAATGGGGTGCCGCTCCTAGTTGGCTAGGTCTGCTTGGTTAAGTCTTCTGCCTACTCGAAGAATTCCTTCTCTGTCTATTATGGCGCTCAACTTCTCTAGAACGCTCAGTCTCGAAACCTTTCCTGAGCGTTTGATGTGTTCAATGTCTTCGCCAAAGGCTTGCCGTTGGACACTTTTGATGATAACAATCTTTGCTTTATGATGAGAGTGGGTGGCGGTGACATTGTCCTGTGAGAGTGTTTCACTCTTTGATCGTACAACAATGATCAGCTTTGCGATTGCACCTTGAATCTTTGACCATTCTGAAAACCTGCTGAAGCGCTCTGAGCCAATGGTCGAGTAGACTTCTACGTGAGTAGCCAAGACATTCGAATCTTTGTGCACCTCTGGATCGTCGGGAAAGATTTCTGCGTCCGTGTCCCCCATCGTCAGTGACTGTTGTAAGGCTGTTGTACAGAAACTTTGGACCCCTATGCCACATGCTCTCTTTTAATTTACTTGCTTCGATTGATTTTGTAGCTAGATCTGCAGGGTTAAGATTGGTAGCGACGTACTTCCATTGGTGTGGAGCTGACGACCTACAAATGCGCTCCACGCAGTTGCTGACGTAAACATAAAATCGGCGGGATTCATTTGAGATGTAACCCAAAACGACTGTGCTGTCCGAGTAGTAGGTCACCGAGTCCGATTTCTGGTCTAGTTCTTCGTGGACAAGGTCAGTCATCTCAACCCCCAGAACGGCTGCTCAAAGTTCTAAGCGAGGTATTGTTGTGGCATGCGCTGGTGTCAATTTGGCTTTTCCAAGTACAAATGCTACTTTAAACCGGCAGGTGTTGTGGACAATTCTTAGGTATGATACTGCGCTGATTGCCATCTCTGAGACATTGCAGAAGGTATGTAGTTCAATGCGAGCAGAACATTTTAATGCCTCTGTTCTGTAAGATCGGGGAACCTTGATATCTTCTAGAGCTCGAAGAGAATGACACCATTCTTTCCATTCTGCCTCCCTTTCTGCAGGTTGAGGGTAGTCCCAGGCATCAGGGTGTGAGGCTCTAAATTCCGTACTCAGTGATCTGAGTGTTTCCCTTTAATAATGACTGGTGCTGCAAGGCCCAGGGGATCATACAGGCTGTTGGTAACCAACAGAACTCCTCGCCGTGTAAATGGTTTTTCTTCTAGCAGCACTTGGAAGGTAAAAGAATCAGACTGCAAGTCCCAGTAAACTCCTAATGATCGTTGCATGGGAACAGGGCCTTTGCCTCCATGATTTTCGGAAACCTGCGATCCTCAGTAGAAATTTCGGGCTTATTGTCGTGATTTGTTCGTACGAAATCGTTGTGCCCTAGGCCATCGTCAAAGGGACTGCCTATGGCGCGTGTGTTTTCTTGTTGCATGGGAACAGGGCCTTTGCCTCCATGATTTTCGGAAACCTGCGATCCTCAGTAGAAATTTCGGGCTTATTGTCGTGATTTGTACGTACGAAATCGTTGTGCCCTAGGCCATCGTCAAAGGGACTGCCTATGGCGCGTGTGTTTTCTTCTTGCTCGCCCCAGGCTGTTGGAGAGGTATCGTGTTTACGGTAGAAGCGGTTTGGGCAGGGGATGAACAGCGAGGGTCGACCATTGTAGAGGACTTGGGTCTTGAAAGTAGAGATTTCTCCCGGTTTGTGGGCGCCATCGAGACAGGCATTTCCAAGTACTACCCAACCAAGGTCCAACCACTGGCCCCAAGGTGCGTTTCTGGGTCTGTTGCGTGATTCATGAACCTTGTGCAGTGTGGGAATATCTCGCCCGACAAGCAGCAGAACCTCCGCTTCTTTATCAAGTGTGGGAATCTTGTTTGCTATCTGAGATAGGTGCGGGTGTGCTAGTGCAACCTCTGGTGTGAGAATTTCTTCTCGATTGTTTGGGATCTCATCGCATTCTGTTAGCGTTGGCAACTGATATCTTACTTGCTTATCTAAGGATTCTGTTACCAGTCCGTGCGCAGGTCTCCCGAGGGTCTGTTTAACGCCAGAACAGGTCTTGAGGGTGTACGAAGTGGCTGAGCCTTTAATGTTTAGCTTGTCGGAAAGTTTGGCTCTTGCCAGGGAGTGATTGCTTTGCTCGTCTATAATAACCAAGGTTCTGATCGTTACATGGGGCGCGCTCGGGTCATAGACGTCAGCCAAACATATTTTGGCACAGGATCTGCCGATTCCAACGGTGTTTTGACCGCACACTTTGGTACACCTGTTAGTCAAGTCCGGAGGCTCCGTTCTTTGGGAGGTCTCAGCTTCCTGCTCCTCGCGTGCTTTTTTCCGTCTTGCTGAATCGACTAGCATCTCTCTCTGCCCCATCAATGTGAAGCGCAGTCATGTGTGTGTCACTGGGGCATATTCCGCAGTTTGGGGTGAAGGTGCAGTCTTTCACAGTGTGACTGGATGATGAAATGCAGCAAAAACATGTGGCGCCGTGCTAATAAGTCCGGGCGCTCAGAATACAGTCTACTTCTTAGTTCGCGACAGACTCGTAATAGATGAGGTCTTTTGTGAAGGAAACACCACTTGTCAGGACTTTCGACGGACTTAACTTTTTCAGAGCTTTCAGGAGTTGTAATGGCAGTTTTAGCGGTCGATATGCCATGGAAACTCTCAGATTCATCACAAATTTATAGCGTTAGGTAGAGGTCGTTTCTTTCTTTAGCGACTTCTTGAATAAGTCGCGAAACATAGGCGAAAGGGAGATAGTCGACCACTTGCTGTCTTTTGTACTTAAATGCGTGTTTTTGCCATCTCCCTTGTAGGTCAGAGGGGAGCTTGGCGACGATAGGTCTCAGATAGGCAGGTTCATCGAGAATTTGTAGGCCCTTTATTCTTCCATCATTTTTTGTGCATTGTAATTCTAGAAGCAAATCCCCAAACTCTTGGAGCTGTTTATTGTTTTGCTTTCCTATCTTGGGGAACGAGTTAATTTTCTGGAGATAAACTTGCCTGACCACAGAGTTTGAGCCAAATCTCTCTCCTAATTTGCACCAAACGTCCTTTAACCCTTCCCCAGGGTTGTCAATATGAGCATTGCGGAGTCTGCGCAAGTCGTTTTGATTCGTTAGTGGTGTACTCGATAATTAAGGAAAGCTGTTCACTGGGGCTTATCTTCACTCCCACGATCATATTCTCGAATGACCCTCTCCATGTGTGGAAATTCTCTGGGCGGTCGTCAAATTTTTCGATTTTGTTTGATATAAGCTCTCTACGGGCCATAAACTCAATGTAGGTACCCATGGTTGTTTGAACTGGATCGGGTGCAGGCGTAAAGGGTGGGGAGTTTGGGTTGAGCTCAAAAAAATGGGATTTTCTGCTTTGCGTCTGGTTCTTGTTTAACCTTTGCCCCAGGCTCGTTTTCAGAGTGTTTTTTTTGCTCCGAATGCAAATCTTCCCCTTTGGTGATGTCATGGGAGAGACAAAAGGGCTCTTCGTGCTAATCTAAATATTTTTGTACGCATTCCTTGGGATTTACTTGCGGTAATTTTGGCAGGGAAGGCGTTTGAGAGTGAACAGAGGCACCTGACAATTGCAACTCGTCCTCGATGGCTTTAGCCTTTGCTAACGCGATCGCTGCCTCTTCATCCGAGCGTAGCGCTTCGAGCCTGGCTTTTTCGCTTCTCTTACGCCTAGCAAGGGCGAGTTCTTCTTCTTTTATTAGCAGCGCTGAACGCGACTCGATTTGAATCCTTTGTTTATGCACCTCGGCCTTTTTTTCCTGCCTTGCCTTTCGCCTTGGCTTTTAGTCGCGTGGATGTCACAGAGTTGACAGATCCTGTCGTTGAACTTCTTATAGACTGCGCCTCTAACAACAAGCTTTCTATCTGTTCATCAGTATCTTTTATCACACTGTCTAAAAATTCTTTGCGCTTGGCCACAGTTTCCTCTAATTGTTTTCGCTCATCTACGATTTTGCTTGATTTCATGCTAGCGGTTAATTCTTGTACAGATAAAAGCATTAATTTGTAGGCACTGAATAAAGATCTTGCTTCCTTGATCCCACTGTGAATTTCTTCAACAGACTATTCTGGCGGCTGTACAATTTCTATTCGATGTAAGCATTTCTTCCACTGGATTTCGAGTTGGTTTTCAATTTCAACTAATTTATTGTCAATTACCTAGTGCGATGGCTTCTTAACTCTCTTTGGGCGATTTGTCCCTAACCTTCTTCGGCAGGTGGAATGTTATCAGCCACAGGGGAACTCGCGGCTCCTAGTTCGTCCTCTGAGTCTGGCAGTGGGATTTGCTCGGGTGACTGAACTCCCAAATCGTCTTCGTTGTGGTCCATGGCTTCTGGCGATCAGCTCTGTTTGCGTGCTGAGTAGTTCTCCTTTTTTACTGTTCCGCTATCTCGACCGATATTTGGTCTTTGCCGAGATAGGGCAGCATAACCAGCAAAGTTGAAATTACTTTATATAAGGTATAAAGGGAAAGAACTTACATAGGCTGGACTGATGTGAAAAAACTAGCGGGTAATAAGACAATGACTATTATAGAGGAAATCCGAGCGTAACAAATTGACCAATAATAAGGATTTCTGACAGATACTATCTCTAAAATAACCTACGTCTCAAGCTGAAATAATAACGAAACAGAAAAATGATTGTTTATATATTGTTTTATTATATTATTATTTTTTCTGCTTCACAAAATGTTACGAAATGCTATTGCGTTTCTTCCAGTTCTGCCACTTTGAAATCCCACTTTCGACTTTTAACCTCTCTCGTTACTGTCCCAGAGTGAAAAAAAACTAACTCAACAAAATGTTAGAAAACTTACAAAGAGCTTCACAGCAACTTTTTCACCTGTAGCAAAATAATCACAAGTAAACAAAAGAAGAATAAGTGCATAATAATGTGTAGCAATCTTCTACCTAAAAAACCCGTTGAGTACAATCAAACTTTGGAAAATATCATGAACTAGAAACCTTTACTAGTTTTATTTGTCCACTGCTCTCTCCTTCTGCAGTTTCACTTTGCTCCACAGTTCCAGTGGACAATAGGCGTGTTGCATCCACACAAGTACTGACCTGTTCAGGCACGGATTAAATTCTTCACCCCAACTGAAGTTCAGTCAATGCCCGTCTCTAAAAGGTGGAACGAAAGTCACAGTGTGGCGGTTTGTATACTTACTTTCTATATGTTCTTTATAATCGAAGAACTGTCTTTGTTCCATTTGTACAACTTGAAATGGGTTCCACTGGTTCGCCTCCTTCACAATCTTACACCGATCGCTGGGCAAATATACAGTTGCACTTGATTTTCCTTTTTTGATCTTGGAAAAGTCGGAATCATTCCTGAGGAATGTGTGTCCTCTTGTTGAGAATTTATGGACTAGGGTATCATAAACCCCTGCTTTATGTAGCTCATTGTACCCATGACTGTCAAATTTTTGTTCTAGCCTCCGTAACCGTTTGAATAGGAGACCAATGCCTTTGCTCCTGTCTGATATGTTTCAAGGAATTGACTGAGGCAGGAGGCCACCTCTGATGATCCACCTTTACCAACAGTTTCATCCGACATGTACATATATCCACGGTCTACCACCATATGGTGAATTCCAAACACGGAAGTCCAGAGCTGGTCTTTGTAAAAAACATTGTGTGGTAGAATTGGCATCGGAATGTTCTGCATGAAGTCAAAAGATATCATATGCCTCGCTCTCGCCACTGCCCATCTTAACTCCCGTTTTCACCTTCTTTCCTTGCTTTCATGCCCTGAGTTGTGTACCCAAAGCATCAAATTCATAAACTAACAGTTGCCATTGTGTGATTAAAACCTCATAGTTGGTAAACATGAGCAACTTTCCATGTTCCTTCAAAGAGAAATGGAAATGTCGTGGTCTCCTTCCAAAACCGCCTTTACTAGATTGTCTAAAAGTACACACGAGTGAACACGAATGACCATGAGTTAGTGAGTTAGAGTTAGAGCTCACGGAAGCATGATTTAACTATTTTAGTAGGGTCATTATGTCACTTTATCAAATTAAAACTCTTTAACCAGAAATAGAGCATTTTTGGCGATTAAATAATTATAAAAGAACTTGGAATTGTTATGTACACTTCTACGGTGTTCAAGGTTATCAAACATCATCTCCCTGAGGTTCATTGTTACGCAAATGATACCCAGCTATGCATGAGTCTCAAGCCTGATGATGATAACACTCAGGGCCAGGTTGTTCAAAGCTGGGTTAACATAACCCAGGGATAGTGTGAAATTTGAATTCAGGTGTGAAAGATTAAAAAGCAAATTAAGTTTAATTATTTTTGTCTACAATCTAATGATTGACTACTCTAAAAAGATTAAAGAAAATTGTCCGAGAAAATGCTTTTGATGATGAGAGACCCGGGTTAAAATTTTACCCTGGGTTAGCGCAAATCAGCCTTCAAACAACTGGGCCCAGGATGAGGCCATTCGCACAATAGAGGATTGGTTTAAAGATATAAGGAACTGGCTTGTTGAAGGACGGCTGTTATGCAATAATGATAAAACTGAATTTCTAGTTATTGGAACTTGTCAGCAGTTAAATTAAATCCATCAGTACTTCATGTAGGTGATCATACGATTGATCCTTCGGTTAACGTAAGGAATTTGGGAACGATATTTGACAATTCAATTAGTATGGATACTCATATAAATCAAGTTTGTAGGACCGCTTTTTGCCATATTCACAACATTCGTAGAATTTCTAAATATTTTTCACAGGAATCCCTTAAAACATTAGTTCATGCTTTCGTTACGTCCAGAATTGATTATTGTAATAGCCTACTCTATGACCTTTCCAAATATCATATAAGTAAACTACAAACTGAACAGAACCCTGCAGCCAGATTAATAACGAACACTAGAAAGTATGATCATATCACACCAGGTTTATATAACTTTCACTGGCTACCTGTGTTTTACCGCGATTTGGCGATTTGCAGAAACACTCTGTTTACAGATCACTACATTTTGTTTACAACAATGGACGTTAGTTGCTTATTGTTTATTCATGGAAACCACTGTTATTACCATTTGTATTCTGTTATTCTGAACGTGTGCGAACTTTGAACCTCGGATTCTTAAGGGTGAAACTTCTCCTTACATTTAGGCGAAAAAGCTGCCAATATGTAGGGGAGATGTGCATCTTTGTTTTATACAGAGTTTGTCGCTGTTTGGACAAAAAGATTCAAACTGAATTTTAATGCGATGTTAACTGATACTAAAAGTACCTAAAAAACAGTTTTGAAAGTAAAAAGTCTACAAGGTATTCTCGTTAAATTTTACTGGTTTTTACTTAACATTATAGCTTAGCCTTTTGACTACAAAGAGCCACTAATTTATGTAAAAAAAAAGTAGACTACAAGTATATTAGACTGGCGATTTTAGTGAGTAATCTTTGCTAAATTCCGTCCTTTTCTCTCTTATTGTGGCGCTTTTGTGGGCCGTTCATGCTTGAATAGCCACCGCGGTAGCTCATTACTATGCGTAAACCAATAGTATTTTTCCAAGAAAATGCCAAAAAAAATGCTTAAAAAAAGGTGACCTTAATTGACAGGCGACCAGCTGCAGGTTGCAAAAGCAAACTATAAAATACTGGAATGTTGGCATGAAACTCGCACACTTCTGTGGCTTTTGAATGAATGGACATATTTTTCTAACACGTAAAAACACATTGTTTGCGATTCTGATTGAACATGTCATTACTCTCACATGTGCAACACATCATCTCTCCTCTGATTGAGTAGAGCCCATTTGCATTTAAGTAACTTCATCCAATGGAAATTTTCCAAGAAAATGCTACTAAAGTGGACGAATATATAATAATTATGCTTTTTTCTCACAACACTTGAAAAAAGGTGAACTTCACTTTCCTACAACAATTAATGAGACCGGCTATTAGTTTTCCCTAAACCAAAGCATTTTAGTTCCTTCTTGATATATTTGAGCATTAATGATTGTGTTCCATCTTTTTTCAGAAAAAAGTGTGTTTAATGGTTACTGGATGAGATCACACATCTGGAGACTTTCTCATGGCTAACAACGTAACATGGCAGAATTTATCTCATAAACGTGCAGTCGCTGAAGTATTGTGGCCAATTCTTGAAATAATCACTGAAATAATCACTGATTAGGGCAGACACAAATAAATAACACATAATGCGAGCGAATGTGCGAAAATCTATTGAGTTTAGCTTACCTCAAGCCCAAGTGTTCTACATCTCTTGGAGAAATAAATTCATCCTTGTAAAAACAGCAAATCTTTCACTTTCTTCTTTTATGCCCAGTTGTACTCCAATTTCTAGCGCTACAATTATTCCGATCTCCTCCTGATCCGGCCTTAGAACGAAAACAACTATGCAGGGCCCAAATTTCCGCATGGCGGCTCGGCATGTCGAGGACAGCATCAAACCAAGTTGAAGAGCATTTTCACGATCACTCCGATGATAAAATACAGTAAATTGGAAATAAATATTCATTAAAAAGTGCAGATTTTTAACGAAGAAATGGACGAGATTTATTCGGGTGAAAGACAAATTTCCCAACATCTCAAGTGTCACATCTAAGATGTGGTCATAACAACGTCGCGCGCGTGTTGCACGTTTTCCTCTCTACCTTTTAATTGGCGCATAGGACAATGCTGAAACTTGGCCGTGAGGTACAAGACAGGGAAGTGTGGAAAATAAAGCTAAAAAAGTTTTTTGTCACGTTTCTCACTGTTTTTTCGGCGATTTTGGGATTTCGACCAATCAGAACGCTCGATTGAAATTAATGATTAAGTTAGCACCTTTAATTGCTTTTGCTGTTCGCCTGCCCACCTCTTACACGGACAATTACTTAATACCATGTAACAATGTGTAACACCTTGTAACACATTATAACACCGTGTATTCATCTACAGATTCACCAATCTGGCGATCTCTCGATCTGCAGGTCTACTAACCATCCAGAAACCAGAACTTGACAATGATGCTTTAAAAAATTACCGACCTGTAGCCAATATACCTTTCCTAGCAAAAGTCATTGAGAAGGTTGTTGCAGGTCAACAACAACAACAACGTACTTATTTAAAGAAATGTAAAGTTACAATACTTTTTCCTGCAAATTGCGATAATACTAATCTAGGCAGGACAAGACTTTAAATAAAGACGTTATTAAATTACATAAGAAAAAAGAAAAGAAAATAAATAAAATAACGTACAGAAAGAAACACCTTACATATTAATTCAAGTACAGGGGATTTTGTTATTTGAAAAAGACTAAAATTACAGCTGGAGGTATATACAGCATATCAGGTTAACTTCATAAAATATGGTGTTAAATAATTAACATACAAATAATTATCTTCATTACCTAGACCATAAAGGAGTAGTGATTTTTACTTTTTTACGAAAATTAGATATGTTGAGAGTCTTAACAGCTTAACTGTTAAAAGAACAAAGGCTGCAAAGGAAGGCAGCTTGATTCAATAAAAAAAGGGATTGCATGGTCTCTGGGTTTAGAAAAATAAATCAAACGCAGTGCACATTTTTGCAGAACAAGTATCTTATTGAGGTGGGTCTGTGGACAGTTGCCCCATGCACAGATACCATAATTTAAATAAGGAGCAATAAGTGCATGATATAAATTCAAAAGAAGAGGCCGTGGAATGTAATGCCTCATTTTAGCAATTATTCCAACCGATCTACTAATTTTGTGACAGATAAAGTCAATATGATGCTTCCATGATAGTTCAAAATCTATCATTATACCCAAATATTTAACAAAGTTCGTCATGTCTATAATTACTCGAGTATTTAAAGTTGGATTGAAAATCTTAATTTGAGGAATGAAAGGTATTCTTTTTTGGCGTGGACGAAAAATGACTTTAGACTTTTTGACGTTGAGCGTTAGTTTGTTAGCATTAAGCCATTCACTTTCTCAAGCTCATTGTTGGCAGTTCAAGAGTACGTTAGTTGTCATTTGCATAGGTTAGATTTGTATCATTTGCAAATAGATAAAAAGTAAATTCCTTGGAAGATTTACAAGTGCCATTAATATATAACAAAAATAGCAAGGTTCTAAGTACAGATCATTGAGGCACTCCACATACGATCGTTTCAGTCTCAGATATGCATTTGTCTATTTCAATCGACTGTCAGCAATCTGAAAGATATGATCTTAACCAAAAATTTATTACTCCTCTTCAGACACATTCATACTTAAAGGAAAACCTATTAATGCCTTCTATGCAACCCCCCTCCACCGAGACTGCCCTTCTGCGAGTAATGAATGTTGTTAGGACCGTTGATTGTCGGCAAGATGTTGTTTTAGTCATGCTTGATTTGTCAGCCGCATTTGACACCCTGGACCATACTGTACTTTTGGATAGGCTGATTAGATACTTCGGTCTTTCCCACACAGTGCTAAGATGGTTTTCGTCTTACCTTACTCGTCGGATACAATTTGTTACCATTGGTAACACAACATCTAGCCGTCGGAGATTAGAATTTGGAGTTCCGCAAGGTTCGATACTTGGTCTTCTCTTGTATGCTCTTTATGCAGCACCTATTCAAGACATAATCTCTACTCATAACCTAGATTTTGTTAAGTTTCATCTTGAACGTCTTTGACAGCCACAAGTTTCTTAAACGCAACTTGAACTTTAATTTCTACCATAAACTAAAGAGAACTTCATTACAGATCGATCCACGACAAAAGAGCACACACTGGCATGTTGAAACTGCTTATATAACACGGAGACAAAAAAACTGTTTATCCAGTTCTTATCTTGTTATTGAAAGTTCTAGAAAGCATTACGTAATATTCTAATTG